GGAGCAGGAGGAGGAGGAGGAAGAGGAGGAGGAGGAGGAGGAGGAGGAGGAGGAGGAGGAGGAGCGTGGCCTGGAGGCGCAACAAGTTCACCGCCAGTGCGCCTCAGAGCTTACCGCTGAGCCCAAAATCGTAGATGGGGCCCCAGCAGCGGAAGGCGAATCGCTACCCTGACAGCTTCAGCGAGCCGTGGCACGTCCTGAGCAGCCAGCCCGGTGCAGCGACGGGCGGAAAATAGCCTAAAGGCATAAAAGAAGCATACGATGAACGCAACATTGAATTCATCCCGACCAGCATCACGAAACAATCCAAGCTTGACCCTGGGATCCCAGGGGGCCTCGCGACAGAGAACAACTGAGACAAGGGTCGAAAGCTTCGGGCACTCCAGGACATAGTGCGAAATTGAATCACTAGTCGAACCGCAGCCGAACATGCAGCGGGCAGTGGTCCACGCGCCGAGCCAAGATTTCAAAGTGGCGGAACGCCACGCGAACGGAAGCTGTCGCACGGCCGTTCTCATCTCCCCCCAGTCCACCAGCCCACTCCGCCCCTCGGGAGAAACCCTTTGGTGATACTGCGATCCAGCGTGGCCCCGATCACGCGGCGAAAAAGAGCCTGTTGAAATATCGTCTGAAACTGTGATTGCCAACGGGACCTGCTTGCCGTAAAGTGTCCGATGCCGCTGTTGGTCGGGCCGGCCTGGAACAGAGAAAGGCACTGACGACCTGGTTCTGACAGGCTGGCCGACGATGGAAAACCCTGGGCGGCAGATTCAAGGAGGAGGGCGATAGAGGGTGAGGTTGAGAAAGGAGGAGAGAGGGAGGGAGAGGAAAGCCATGCGGGGGCTCCAAATTGCCAGACGACGCGGCGCAATCGTCGGAGCTCTACGGGCCACGACTGGAGCGACACAAGGGCGGCGCGCATCCTGGTGGCGGCGCCGTATGCCTACATAGATTGGAAAGCAGGGCCTCCGAACTCTCCAAGTCCAAACCACCCCTCTCAAGACAACATCGAACTTGGGGACCTCCAAAGGGAGGCAAACAAGTGACGCTCTTGGATGGCCATGCTTCTGTCTATCGGGAAAAACTGGGCCTTGTACGACAGCGCCGGGAGGCACCTGGTGTGGTAGTAGAACAAATTCGTAGCGCCATCTGCGGTGGAGCGGCTGGCATAGAGGACGCGTGCGCGTAGTTTACACCAGGGAGCATCCCACGGGAGCTCCACCGACGCAGATGGGCCGAGCTCCACTCCGAGATAGGTGAGACTCCCCTGGATCCGGAACCCCGCCCAACCCGAATCGACCCGGGAAAGGAACTCCCGAGCGGCCATGACCAGAGAGTCGCAGAACTCACCTATCAGAGGGACGACCTGGCATTTCCAATATTTCAAAGTCAGGCGAGCGAACACGCTCGCGAGCTTGAATATACGAGCCATCTGCACAAAACCAACAAAGTGGAAAAGTACGGTTCCGACATCATCGGCACACGCCCTAGGAAATCCCGGGTGACGGCTCACAACCTTCAGCTCCATATCCCAGAGGAGAAGGTTTGAAGCGATCAGAAATAATGAACCACTCAGGGGGCAGCCCTGTAGCACCCCTGCCGTCATGCAGAAGAGCGGAAGCAGCGGGCCGCCGTCGCAGAACCAAAACAAGTTGAGGACGTAAAACTCTTCGATTGCTGCCTGGCACCCCCTAGGCAGCTGAAAAGCCCGAGTCGCGCGGAGGAGCCAATCCTGTCGAACGCTGGGTAAAGCCTGAGATAAATCAAAAGACACCAACATTGGGAACCAATCTCGAGAGAGGGTTCCTGGCGGGGGGTTCTTTTGGATGCTGCCGATCCGAGCGAGCGAGTATAACGCAACGATATTGTCAACGAAGGACCGCCCCCGCACAAATCCATTCTGCATCTAGGGGGTGATCTTTGCCACCGCGCCGACAATGCAGCGGTTGATCACCGATGCGACAGCCTTGTTCGAGGTGTTTTTCAAGCCGAGCGGACGAGTACCCTGGGTAGGCGGAAGCCTTGAGCCAAAATGGCTACGGAGGAGGAGGAGTGGGAGGGGGAGGAGGAGGAGGAGGAGGAGGAGGAGGAGGAGGGGGAGGAGGAGGGAGGAGGAGGAGGAGGAGGAGGAGGAGGAGGAGGAGGAGGAGGAGGAGGAGGAGGAGGAGGAGGAGGAGGGGCCCGCAGCAAAGGGTCCCCGCACTCGGCCCGGGGAAGCGTCCCCGCGGGCCTGCCCGAGAGGACCCCCCCCCTCGTGGCGCACGGCGGCGAGCGGCACGCGGCACCTCCTCCAACACGGTGAAGCCCGTGTCCTCGGCCGGGGTGCGGCGCGCGCGCGAGGCGGGGGCGTGTCCACAGCCGCCGCCCAGAGAGCCGAGGCCCTGGGGCCTCAGGGGGCGGTGGATACGGGCCTCTGGGTTCAGGCAAGTTTCCGGCAAGATTAGACTCCGGCAAGTTTACTTGCATGGCATTCGCCCGCCCCCCACCCCCCCCTTCCCCCCCTCGCCCCTCTTCAGACGACTACTGGCAAGTGCCTTTCGACTTGCGTGGTTGATGCACGTGCAAGTCGTCTGCGGCTTGCTTCAGGCTCAAGCCCCCCCCCGCCGTCCATGCGAGTAAACTTGCCAGAGTCAACAAAAAAGGCTCTACCCAGAGATCCGACGCCGAGAAATTCGAGCGACGGGATTTGTTCGGCCTCCGTAGGTTCTCGCCGGGCCTCGGGACCGAAAAACGGCTCGGGGCGAAACACCAACCCTGTGGAAACGGTCCAGACGTCCGGGGCCCACGCATCGGAAAAATAGGAGCGGCCAGATGTCCGGGTATGGACGTGTTGGCGAACACATCCATCCTCGCCGCCTGCCGAGGTCCCCGAAGATCGATCTGCCAAGGGGTGGTCCTCGCGAACGGCTCGGGGCGAAACACCAACCCTGTGGAAACGGTCCAGACGTCCGGGGCCCACGCATCGGAAAAATAGGAGCGGCCAGATGTCCGGGTATGGACGTGTTGGCGAACACATCCATCCTCGCCGCCTGCCGAGGTCCCCGAAGATCGATCTGCCAAGGGGTGGTCCTCGCGAAATCCCCGCCTGGGATGGGGAGCCCCCCCATCTCAGGAGGCAACTCCTAGGAGGGTCTTCGGAAAAACGACTCAGGGCTATGAGGACCAATTGGAGGGCGACTGAGCCGTATGGGCTAGAATTAAGCCTGGGGCTAGGCTGGACCAAACTGGATTAAGCGGGGCTGGGCGGAGCCATAAGCATGGCTGTGCTAAATTGAGCCTGCTATCGGCCACGGCTCCACCAGCGCGGAAGCGCAGTGCAACCTCCCAGAACCTGCAACCGAGCCTCTCTAATCGCTTGTTGGACGAGTCCAACCGAAATCTGCGACGCGGCACCAGAGCCCGAGCGCCAGGAGCGCCTGCAAAACGCAACGGCCGTGGCAGGACGGTTTGCATGTTGCTACCCGCATGCGGCTGCTGACATGCCAGCCTCTCCGGGAAGTCTCATGGGACAAACTATGCCCTAGCCTTAGTTCGGGCATGTCCTCCTACAGGCCGATTTTGGACGAAAAATGAAAAATACCCGCAACATGTTCAAACAATACCCCTGTATTCCTCCTGTAAAGGGACAGGCCCGACTTCACCCTAGCCCGACCGTTCCCTCCCCCATGTGTTATCCTCCCTGCTCCTCTCCCCATCACGCTCCTGCTCCTGCTCCTGCTCCTGCTCCTCCTTTTCGTCCTCCACCTCCTCCTCCTCCTCCTCCTCCTCCTCCTCCTCCTCCTCCTCCGCCCCCTCCTGCTCCTCCTCTGCTCCGGCGCAGAAGAGAAGAATCGCTCCAGGGGGTTCTCGAGCTGTGCCCCGGGAGCTGTTGCCGTGGCCTGCATCACTGAAGCACGGCCCTCGTGCGCTCCAGCAGGGCCTCCACAGATCCACAACCAAGCCTGGCCCTCACGCCAGAAAGCGCCAATCCCCCGCTCGCCGACACCAGCGGACGGGCTCTCGATAAGAGGTTTTGTTGCATCTTCGGGGGACCTTGTCTGTCCCATCTCGCTGCTACCCGCGTCGAATTCACGTCGAATCTCGAATCCGCGTCGGAGCACGACAAATCCGCATCGACTCCACGTCGAAACCACGTCGAATGCGCACCGATTCCACGTCCGATCCACATCGACTGCGCGGCGGACTACTAGAGAAGACAAAAGGGCAGAGGACAGGGCAAGCCCCCCGAACATGCAACCCAGCGCGGGGTGGGCCAGCTGAGCCGGGGACCTGGATCAGCGACTGGAGCTCGGCCATGTCCATGGTTCCTCTCGGAGTGCAAATAAGGAATCAATGCCACGCCAGCTGGACGACCCAATCAGCGAGTCACTGCTGAAAGAGAACCTGTCATTTGCATCAGCAACTAGTTTGAGCAACAGGCGCAATTAGAAAGACAACGTGCGTCCACCCCTAACGTTGTCCCTGAACGGGCCACAAGCCAAATCGTCCCACGGCCGCTCGGGACGATTCTGGCATCCCCGGAACGCTCTCGTCAAAACGCAGCTCATGGCAACGACCCCGAGGCCTCGAAAACTTCCGAAGAAAATTCTAGAAAGCTCGAAGACTCCCCCTCTTATTGTGGGGGGACAAGCAGGTACCGATACCGCCCCTCCCCGGACCCCTCCTGGGGGCCATCCCGACCAGGGTCCGAGGAGAACCCGAACGTGGCGACGAAGGCCCTATAGGACGAGCAGCGGCATCGGTAGCCTATGCTCCTCTGACCTAGAGCCTATCCGCCCCCCCACCCCGCGCGCATCCCCCCCACAGGGGAGGGCTCGGGCGCGGGGTGAGGCCCAGCGAGCGCGGGACCCGACGGCCACCTGGCCGACACCGCGCCCTCGCCCAGGAAGGAGCCACCCTCCCCAGACACCCCCGCGTCGTGAAAAACACGGCATATGTGTATATATGTATATATGTATGTACGTATGTCAGTCTGCATGCATGTGTCTGTCGGTCTGTCTGTCTGTCTGTCAGTCGGTCTGTCTGTCTGTTTGTCTGTCTCTGTCTCTGTCTCTGTCTCTGTCTCTGTCTCTGTCTGTCTGTCTCTGTCTGTATGCCCGTCTGCCTGTATCTCTGTCTGTCTGTCTGTCTGTCTCTGTCTCTCTGTCTGTATGCCTGTCTGCCAGTATCTCTGTATGCATGTATGTCTGTCTGTATGTATGTATGGATGGATGTATGCTTGTATGTATGTACGCATGTGTGTGTGAATGTATATATGTGTAGACATGCTAGTATACCTGTGCTTATGTATGGATGCATGCACATTTGTATGTATGCATATGTGTGCGTGCAGGTGTGCATTCGTGTGTATGTATGTATGTATGTATGTGTACGAACGTACGTACGTACGCACGCACGCACGCACGCACGCACGTACGTATGCATGTATGTATGTATGCATGTATGCATGCATGCATGTATGTAGTGTACGTAGTGTAGTCGTGTGGGCATACATGTACGTATATGCGCGTGCATGTATGGATGTTTCTGTGTATGGATGCATGAACATATGCGTGGCCATGTGGATGTACACAGGTGTGTATTCAAGTGTGTATGCATGCATGCATGCATGTATGTGTATGAATGTATGCAACTATGTATGTATGTGTTGACGTATGTGTGCATGCATGCATGCATGTATGTATGTATGTATGTATGTAGGTATGTAGGTCGGTTGGTCTGCACAGTTGTGTACATACATACATACATACATACATACATACATACATACATACATACATACATACATACACATATATACATATATATATATATATAGGTACACACGTCACCGAATCGAACAAACTCGTAAAGCGTTTCTTGTTGTTGGGAGGGGGGGCTGGCCCCATAGGGGTCAAGAGGGCCCCCAAGCGGCCAAAGCTGGCTCTAACAAATCACCCACGCGGCCCAACAGCGGCCCCAGAGGCCCTGAAATTCGCGGTTGCCCTCCAAGATCCCCCACCAACGGCCAGACGACTACAAAAATCATGCTCGGTGCCCGAGGAGCCCCCGTAACGCCTCCAGAAAGCCCCCAGGGGACCCCCAAGAGGGATCCATCAAGCAAAAATCAAAATACCCTCTCAGGAAACTTGCGTTTTCAGAAACTTCGTGTTTTTAATCCTCGACGCATCCAAGACGGCCCCAGGGGCCTCCAAGAAGGCACCCCGAAGGCCCCCAAGATGGCTCTAGACAGGCCCACATAGGCCCAAGAGGCGCAAGACGAGTCTAAGTGGGGCCCAAGAGCTTGGTCCCTCTTTAAACACCCAGATTTTATGTTAGAAATGAATTGCACGTTTGGCGCTTGACAAGCTGAAGACACCAACAAAACGCGACAGTGCTTTTGCGTATGTAATTCCCAACCATCCTGTGGTGTTGGGTCCTCGTTTTGAAGAGACGGTCTCCGCGTTCCTCTCCGCTCCTCTCCTCTCCTCCTCCTCCCCTCCCTCCTCCCTCCTCCCGTCACCCCCCTCACTTTGGCACACTCCTCTCACGTTTCGTGGCCCCATAGGGAGCTCCACCGAAGGCCCCAGTGCCACCGCCCGCATGCGTCACGCATACCCATTTCGGCACACCCATCACACGCTTCGTGGCCCAATAGGGAGCTCCACCGAAGGCCACGGTGCCACCGCCCGCATGCGTCACGCATACCCCTTTCGGCACACCCCTTACACGTCTCGTGGCCCCATAGGGAGCTCCACCGAAGGCCCCAGTGCCTCCGCCCGCATGCGTCACACACACACACACACCCCTTTCGGCACACCCCTCACACGTTTTGTGGCCCCGCAGGGAGCTCCACCGAAGTCCCCAGTGCCGCCGCCCGCATGCGTCACGCACGCCCATTCCGGCACACCTCTCACGCGCTTCGTGGTACCGTAGGGATCTCCACCGATGGCGTCAGTGGCTGCGTTCGCATGCGCCCACTGCGCCCATTTCGGCACACCCATCACACGTTTCGCGGCCCCAAAGAGAGCTCCACCGACGGCGGGCGGCAGGGCGGGGTCAGAGTCCTCGGTCGGGCCTGTCCCTCCACAGGAGGAAGACTCAAACATGGTCAAAACGTAGTCAGGGAACGATTTTTCTACCATTTTTGTATTGTCGGCGGTGGACAAACCTCCCCGTAGTAAACCTCCCCTTAGTGAAAACGGCCTGCGACCGAAACCGACGGACCTGGACCCGCAAACATGACGACCGCGACGCCCTCTCGCGAACCGAAAACGGCCAATTTCTTAATCGACGTGTCAGGGTAGGAGGTCTATCCACCTCCGATATTGCTGAATCTGTTTGACCATCTCTCTTCGCCTCTCCCAGAGCCCGCCCGTGGGAGGGCATGCCCGACCGGAGGTCAGATGGGGGGGGGCGGTGGGCCCCCCGACGCCCACTGGCGGCGCAGCCTTTCTTCTCTCTCGCCGCAGCGGGCGACTCTCTGCCTTCCTCGGCGGCGCGCGCAGGGGGGGGGGCAGTAATGGGGGAGGGGGGGGAGGCTTCTCTTTTATCATTCGTATCATCGTTCTGATTCTTAGTATTATGATGTCTTCTTATGTTTCTTGTCCTCATCGTTCTCGCTCCTGTACGAATACTGAAAGTGATAATGCGTATTATTATGATTATTACCCTTCTGATTATTATCGGAAGGAGCCTGCTCCTGGGGAGGCGCCGGCCCCACATCTACACAGACGAGGCCCGCGCCTTCTGAGGCGCAGGGGTGCTTCTGAGAAGCCCTCCCCCCTTCTCCTACTCCGAACCCCTTCTTAATCGACCCCCCAAAAAAAACCATACCCCCCTCCAAAGGCGACCTAATATTCCAGACCCCCTTCTTCGACGGGGCGCCTTAATAAACGGGACCCCCTAAGCTCCAATCCGAAGAGAAAACGCCCTAATAAACCGGACCCCCCGTTACAAAAGAAGCGCTCAAAAAAAAACCATACCCGGGGGACGATTCATAAGGGATTTGGAGCATATCCCCCCCCCTCCCCAGCGCGTGACCGAGTCCAGGCGTCGCAGCTTTTCACGACGGGCGACCTTGGCTCTGCTGCGGGCCCTGGGGCCCTCCCTCACGGGATCGATGCGGCTCGAAGCGTGCAGCAGAAGGATGAGGTCCAGGGCGCCGGTCGAGTCTGTTCTGCGGTGCCTCGCTGTGTTCGTGGCGTGGGGTCTCACGGGCGGAGGAGTCGCGGGACGGGCGAAAGAGGAGGGCCGAGGGGGACGGGAGGTGTGAGTCTGCTGCCCCACTGCCCGTCCCCATCTCCGCTGCCGTCTTTGTCGTACTTCTTGAACTGCTCCTGTCGGCAGTTGGGGCCAGGGGGCCGACGCGGCAGGGCCGAGACGGCCCCTCCCCGTGCAGCATCCATCTCGTCCCCAGCCTGCACTGCTCGCGCACTACAGGGGCCCAGGAGGGACCCTGGAATCCAAAGCGCGTCGACATGGAGCGGCTGGAGTCAGCGTCAGGCCAAGCGGCTGACATGCCGCCCATGGTCCGCGGGCCACCCTTTTAACCCGACGTCGTTTTACTGTCGTGACATGCCCCTCTCCCAGGGATCTCGAGCCCTTTTCCCAGGGCCGGCTTTCAATCCGACCAGGGCCAGGAAACTGCGTCCAGGAGCTGAGAACGTAACAAAACATAGGCCGTCGCAATCGTTGCTGCGTCGCCCGGATCTCGGGACTTACGAATCAAGGGTTGAGGTTCTTCAGTGCTCGCTGCCGCCACCGTCGTCGTCGCTTCCGTCGCGGCTGGCATGGTCGTCGTGGCCGTCGTGGTCGTTGAGGTGGTCGTCGTGGTGACCATCGCGGATGCGTGAGCGAGGCGCACGGGCATCGTCAGACCTATCCCCGTCCCCAGTGGGGAAGGGCTCCTGAGCGTCACCTGCCGCCTACCTGGTAGGGGTGGGCAGGGATGCCGCGTAACCCGACGGTGACGGCGCCTGAACCCACCCCGAGGGGGCAGCTCGGGCAGCACGGCCAAGGCTTCCCCAGTAAGGACGGGGCTACAACGCGCACCCTTGAGATCCGACGTTGCAAAAATTAAAAGATTGCAGAAAAAAAACGACCGGACCCTCGGACTCTACCTCCCTGCGTCATTTTGCGAGCCGGATCGATCTGTGAGGGTCCCAGGGCCCGAAATGGAGCGAAAACGCCTGGCTCGGAAAAATTGAGTCGCCAGGATCTCAGTGACGTGCGATCGTGAATCTTACTGGGGTGCGTTTTTCGTCGAACCATTGAGCCTCCTGATGTGCTCCAGGACCGCTCACGGAGCTCCCCAGGGCCAGCCAAGGGGACAGAAGAACCTTCCGCGGGACGCCTGCTGGCAGGCCGGACTCTTTCGGCGGTGGACAAGCCTCCTGTCAGTGAGCATCCAACGTAGCGGAAACGTCCTATAGGACCGAAGCCGACGGACCTGGACCCGCAAAAATGACGGCCGCGACGCCCTCTCGCGAACCGAAAACGGCCAATTCGCTACTCGACGTCAGGGCAGGTCTATCAACCTCCGACTCTTATTTTAATGCGCCCGCACGCGGGTATACCCAGACATCCTCCCATCCGATTTGTGCCGTGCGCGGCCTCAGAGTCGGGGACGCACTGGCATGGGTCCACGCAAACCTGGGTCAGTCATGCGTTGCAGGAACTTGCAAGATCCTGCAGGATCCTGCACCCAAGCCCGTCAATGCACCCCCGGCTCTGCAGGATCTTGCAAGATCTGGTGTCCTGGCCGAACCCCCGTCAACAAGGAACCCCCGTCGCTTGAGCCGCGACAGCACTCTCGACCCCTGAGCCCCGGGTCGATGTTTGTCGTGGATCCGTTGTCGATGGCCCCCTTGGGCCCGAAAGCGACTCCCCGAGGCCGAACCCGAGGCCGAAATCCGCACCGCGATCCGACGCCGCGAAACAATCCAACATGGTCGAAGACTCGACCGGAGCCGTGGTTTCCTGCATGCATCGAGCCGGACCTGTCCGCCAGCATCCTGGGACCAGGAACAAAGCAAAGCAAAACAAAAAAAGCTGTGAAAAATGCAACGCTAGGGTCTCAGGAGAGGAGCTCCGCGGCCAACAAACAACACAGTCGGAGATCTGGGTGCCCACCCAGACAGCCAGCCGCTCCAATGTTTTCGGTGCGTGGGCCCCGGCTGGATCACCCCCCCAAGGAGCCCACAAAGAACGCGCGCGCCCAACCATGCGCATGAACACGGCCCCTCGATCCGCGAGACTGGCCGCGTGCATGTACGTTTACGTCCTTCTTTCGCTCCTACCTCCTGGGGCGGGCTTCTCGTCCTGAGCCGTTTCTCGACGGCCCCGGGGCCTGGCGAGGGCCCCCGGAGGCCGCACCTGGCCCCCCAAACCCGCCCGCTCCCGCCTGCTCGGGGCGTCGGGATCTCTTGGGGGGGAGGTCTCGTGCGCTCCTCGCTGCGGAGCTCGGAGAGAGTGCGCCCAGAGGCCCCACGCGACAAAAAAATCGGCATCCCGCATGTTTGGTGGACGTAACGTTAGGTCGGGCGGGGGGGGGGGTTGGACGAAGAATGAAGAATACCCAAAAAACAGAAATAATCAAAATAATCAACAGTCGTCCCCTGACTATTGTAGGACTCTGTTTGAATTTTCCCTCTGTAGAGGGACAGGCCCGACTTAAACGTAACGTCGGCCCTCTGGGACTGCAGAGCTCCAAAAGGCCCGGGGCCCCTCGCGGCAGGGGCGGCGGCCGGCGCGGCGAAGGAGTAAGAAGGGGGTGGCAGAGATAGGGAGAGCTAGAGAGCGAGAGAGAGAGAGAGAGAGCTTGAGAGCGAGAGAGAGAGAGAGAGAGCCAGAGAGGAGGGAAGAGGGGAGACAGAAGAGAGGAGAGGAGAGGAGAGGAGAGGAGAGGAGAGGGGAGGGGAGACGCAGCAACAGCAATCAAGAAACAGGGGGGGCCAGGGGGGGCCCTCTCGGCAGGGGGCGGCCGCCGCGCCGGCCGGCGCCTCCCACGTCGCCAGGGTGCAGTCGCGCACGCGGCGCGCCCACAGCACCACCTCCTGCAGCGTGAGCGGGTGCGCCTGGCCGGGTCCCTCCCCACCTCTTAGGCAGCTGGCCTCGCCGGGCGCTGCGGCGGGCGCTCTCGCCTCGAGCTCCGCAGCGAGGAGGAGGAGGAGGAGGAGGAGGAGGAGGAGGAGGAGGAGGAGGTGGAGGAGGAGGAGGAGTTGGAGGTGGAGGAGGAGGAGGAGGGAGGGGGACGAGGAGGAGGAGGAGGAGGAGTGGAGGAGGAGGAGGAGGAGGAGGAGGAGGAGGAGGAGGAGGAGGAGGAGCGGCGGGTTCTGGGCTCTGTTCGGCCTCCGGGGGCCCTCGTCGGACCTCGGGCCCGTCAAAAACGGCTGAGGACGAGAAGCCGGCCCTGCAGGGCCGGCTTTTCGTCCTGACCCGTGTTCTGCACTTCCTCATGAGGCAGTGGTCCAGATCTCCGGGGCCCACGCATCGAACAAATTGGAGCGGCCAGATGGCTGGGGGGCAGCGAGGAGCCCACGAGGCCTTCAGCGCCAACTGGCTCGAGGCTCGGGAAGCTTCGGCCGTTCCCGGATAGTAGCTCCTCGGAGAGCTACACTGCATTGCTTCATATAAGAAGCGGGCAGGCAACGGTATCCCTGGAGATCGTTCCGGCGTCGCTCCACGATCCTGGCAGCAAATCGTTCGACCCTCAAAACTTTTGCCCCGGAAGGCTTTAACCGTTCCCCTATACGTGAGCCTCGAAGCTTTCCGGAAGCTCTTGCCCAGAGCTTCCAGAGCTTCTCCGAAGGACCTTGTGGAAGCTTCTGTCGCCTTGTTACCCCGGTTTGGGACACCACAAATTTTCATGGGGTCCTGGAGGCTTTCCTGCCTCGGGGTGCTCTCCAGCAGACCCGAGCTATAGCACGAAACCCAAACCCCCTCGCGTCAATTTTCGGCCGCTGGGGGCCCTCACCTGGCCTCCAGGACCGTCACAGCATGAGTCGGGATGAAGGCCGACCCTGGGGAAGGGGTCGGGACTCCAGACTCCACCAGGCCCCGCTTTGAACAGAGCAAGACATATAATGCCTGCCCCGCCGCCTCCACCCGCGAATCCTGCGCTGGCACTGGAGAGCCGCAGTCCTCATCGTCCCAATTCCCGTCGTCGTCCACTCTGCCCTCCTCCTCCTCCTCCTCCTCCTCCTCCTCCTCTTCTTCCTCCTCCTCCTCCTCCACCGCGTCCTCTGGCTCCACGCTCTCGACTCTCGCCCTTCCCGTCCTGCGGCCTCTGGCCTCCACCTCCCCGCCTCCATCTGGGAATCCTGTGTTGGCACTTGTCCTATGGGCGCCTTTCCGCCGTGGGGTCGTCTGGGGCCAGCGACTCCAGTAGACAGATACGATCAGAGGTCTTGCTGTCGATCTTTGCGAGCCCCAACGTGCCGCATAGCTTGTGCTCCCTGGGCCCATCAGGGGATGACGAATTTGCGTGGGGCACCTGCTAGCAGGCTCGTTTCTGGCTTGACGTGCCTACTGCGCGGTCACCTTGCGAACGCAATCGTTCACCTTCCATATCCGCAGACGACAGAACTGGGGAGACAAACAAGTACCGATACTGCTAGTCCCCGGACCTCTCCTGGGGCGCGTTCTGACCAGAATCTCGAGGCGAATCCAACGATGGCGACGAGGGCCCCCCAGTAGGCCCGAAAGGGCGAAATCGATGGAAGGGTACCAATATCCGGCACCTTCTCCTCATCTGAGCAATTGTTCACCTTTCACTCGGCGGCGGGCCCGGGGGGAAGTGAGAAGGGGCGGGCCTTCTCAGGAGGCTCGGAAGTCCCCAGGCCTCCTGAGAAGTCTCCTATAAGCCTTCCCCGAAGACGCGAACAACCACTAGTTGAGAGAATGTTCGGCCTCTGGGGGCCCCCACTGCCCATGCTCTCCACCATCCATACCATCCGATCGGATGGTGTGGGTGTTTTTCAGTGTCTGGAATGTCTGGGTTTGTCTGCGTTTGTCTGTGTTGTCTGGGATTGTCTGTTTGTCTGGTGGCATCATTATCCTTAACCAACACCAAGATGATAAATATAAACATCAACATCAACATCCAATGTACATAAACATCACGGGACGACTCGGGACGAAAAGCCGGCCACACGAACGAATCACTGCGTCGGGGGTATGTGAGAGGGGGGCGCATTCTGCCCAGGATCTCGCGGGGGATCCAGCCGTGGCGACGAGGGCTCGCCAGCTCGAGCACCGGTCCTGGTGTCTCTCCTCCTCGGAGAGATGGCGCTGGCGACGACGACGACGGCGACGACGGCGACGACAACGGCGACGATGGCGACAGCGGCGACGACGGCGGCGTCGACGGCGACGCCCGCGGCGACGACGGCCCCGCTGCCCCTCGGCGGCGCGCACATGGGGGTAGGGGGAGGGGGGGAAGTTTCTTGGAAGGAGGCCGCTTCTTCGAGGGCGCGGGCCCTGCATCTACAGACGAGGCCCGCGCCTTCTGAGAAGCAGGGGTGCTTCTGAGGGGCCGTCCCCCCTCGCGGCCACGCGCGAGAGTGACCCTGGGCAAGGGTGGCCTTTAAGGTGCGCAACCTTCGGCGGCTGCGGGGAGGCCGAACCCGAGGGCGCAAGATGCTGCCCTCGCATCGCGCTCGGTCATCTGAGCGACGATAAAAAAAACTGGTCTTGCGCGAGATGACGCAGCGACCTTACGCCGCGGCTTACGCGGGCCGCTGGCGCGGTGCGCTACACTAGAGACGAAGGCGCTCACGCGCGAGACATTGCGCGGGCAGCTTACGCGCCCGTGTCGGCGAAGACGAGCCCGTGTTCTTGCCTCGCTCATCTGGGGACCCGCATGTGCCCGCACCAAAGGCCACTCTGGCGAAGGGTCACTCCCACGTGTGGCCCACCCCTCCCCCGACCCCCCTCTCTCGCCATCGCTCTCGGACGTCCGTCCCACGTGCATGCTTCAGCTTCGTGTTCTTTTTTTTGTTTCTCGCAGGCCGATCCGGGACGCTCCTCGACATCGTCCTCGCCGATTGAAGGCACCGCACACGCCCGAGCGATGCCGAACTCTGCGCGTGGCCGAGCCGGGCCGAGAGAGCCTGCCTGGACCTCCTCGTCGGCGGAGGCCGCCCTCGCGGCCTTGCCGCGCAGGATGGGCTCCAGGAGCTGCCCGCAGACCTTCTGGGCGACCTCTGCGGCCCCGCCGCCGCCGCCGAGGGCGCCGCTGCCCGGGGCCGCCGGCTCCGCCGGGCTGCGGAGGGGGGCCCGATCGTCGAGCTCCGCAGCGAAGAGCCCTCCGAGGCCTCCGGCGCCTCCCGCTTCGAGGCTCGAGGCTCGGGGCCTGCGGTCGTCCTCGCTGGTCCTGGGAGGTGATCGGCCTGTTTTCCACCACCACCACCATAAGTTGGAGGGGGAGGGGGTCCTCCTCCTCCTCCTCCTCCTCCTCCTCCTCCTCCTCCTCCTCCTCCTCCTCCTCCTCTTCGTCCTCCTCCTCCTCGTCCTCCTCCTCCTCCTTCCCCCTCCAACTTATGGTGGTGGTGGTGGAAAACACGCCCATCAGGAGGCGTTCGTTCCTGCCTCGGGACGTTCGCCGGCAGCTGCGCCTCGCCGGGAGCGCTCGGGGGGGTCCCCAATCGTCCCGAGCAGCCGCCGGAGGCCGGAGCCGTGGTGCGAAGGCAAAGGCCCTGCGCGTCGTGAAGGCACCGCGGCGGGAGGCCCTCGGACATCTTTTTTCAGCCTCTGGGAGCCCGTCGGCGGGCCTGCAGGACCAGCAAAGAACCACTCGGAGTGCAGGTTCTGGCCCTGGGGACAGGGGAGAGGGTCGGGACAAAAACAAGACAAAAAACAAAGACACCGGACGTCGGATGTCAGAAAAACAACAAAACAACAAAACAACAACATCGGACCCCGCGTGGAACAACAAAAAACATATCGGATGTCTGGGTCGGCGACGGTCGCCGCCGACGCTCGGAAACGTGCGGGAGCCCTCGGCGACCCTCACTAGAGGCCAGTGTGGGGCCGCCGCCGTCGTCGTCGGCGGCATCGTCGAACGCTCATTTCTGGAGAATGACGACTGCTGGTACGACGCTCCCGCTCGAGCGCAGCTTTCATTCCAAAGCACAACCCTCGAAGGCCCAACCACGGCGACAGCGGCTCCCGCTCCATGCCTCCTCCCGATGTTCCTTTTTTCCATCCACACACCAAGCAGGGTTAGTGAGTCCTCTGGCCGGCACGCGTCAGACCTCGCAAGAGACTGAGCTCCCGAACGTGGGAGCTCAGTCTCTTGCGAGGTCCAGGAAGCTGGGTGGTCCATCAGCGTGGCTGCTGGCCGTCATGCGGAACGGAAGATATCGTGGCCAGGAGGAGAGCAAACGCGAGGCGAAGGTGATTGATAGTGGCACTGCGCGTGCATCTCATCGAGGTCCCACCATCCGATAATTAGACAGCACGCAACAATGAGCAACAGGGCAATGAACGGTACAAGGAAAAAACTTACAAAACCCGAAACCCGACGGGTCGCGGAGGATCAGAAATTTCCTCTAAGTTTTCTCGTGCGGGAGGCGGAAAGGGCAACGGCGCAAGACCGTGTCTGTGCTGGCTCGCCAGTGATGTACAATGCACCACTATCTGGATGAGGCACGGCAGCGCCCCGCAGCATCGGAGGGCTAAGCCCCTGCGGCGAAAGGTCGAGCCCCGGGCGGCAAGAGCGGCCGGCCCAAGAGTCGGCCCACCGCGACCGTGCGCTAACCTACACACGCTGCCCGTGCACAGAACGAAAGGGAGAGGCCGGGGGGAGGAGGAGGAGGAGGAGGAGGAGGAGGAGGAGGAGGAGGAGGAGGAGGAGGAGGAGGAGGCGGAGGAGGAGGAGGCGGAGGAGGAGGAGGAGGAGGAGGAAGAGAAAAAAACGTGAACGCTAAGGCCTGAACTGTCACGGAATCGGTGCGCGGCCTGAGTGTGAACGCCCGGGGCATCCTCACCCGGGGCCTCAGCAGCATGGAGTCGCGCAAGCCGTGGAAGCGGTGTTGTAGGATGAAGCGGTGTCGCAAATCGTCGTGCTGATGGAGCCCGAGACGTGTCTTGAGGGCAGATCCTGAAGGGAACCCGCAGGAGAAACAAAGCCAACCCCCGCCCAAACGACGCCCCACCAACAAGCTGTGCCCTCAGCTTTGTCAGTCTGTCTGCCCCAGTCGAAAAACGCCCCGCAATCTGAAACAGACCACAACCCAGCAGGGCAGGCTTGAGTGCCTGAGCTGTCCTGAGGCTACAGGGGCGTCAGCGACTGCAGCTGCAGGGGTGGGGCTTCGCTGGTGCCGTACATGACGCTGGCCAAATGGTTCAAACTTGCCTGTGGTAGCCGCTGGTACCGTCAGCGGCGCGCACTGGTCGAGCTGAAACTCGTCCAGCTGAGTGCCCTGCAGGTGAATGCACTAGTGCTTGTTGCCAGAGTGCTGAACGAACCTGCGAATGTCATCTACAACATGCTGCTGTTTCGGCTGGTTGTCGCCGACACAAGGCGATCGTCGGAGCGGGAGTCGAAGCTGCTGTCGGAGATGGCGACGAAACTGGCGTCACACGGCACCTGGCACCACCAAATCGCCTGGCACCCAGCGTCACCAAATCAGAGACGGCCGAAATACGCGTCACGGTTTTCGCCCCCGCGGGTGGCTCAGGGACTACAGGGAATCGGGCTGATCGGCGCGGCAGTCGGCGAGCACGTCTGTGCGGGAGTCAGTGAGCTGGCAGGCGCGGGAGTCCGCGAACTGTTCGGTGCTACAGTCGGTGAGCTGGTCGGTGCGGGAGTCGGTGAGCTAGTCGCCGACACGTCCTCCCAATGTACTCCCAGTCGCCCTGGCCAGAGAGGCCCCCTAATCCAGGAACGGCGTCCTCGCTCGAGGCAGTCTCAAAATTCAATCAAGTTGGTGAAGCCCAACTGTAACGACAACGGCTCCCGCTCATACTTACCAACTCGCAGCTTACTCCAACGCGTCTGACCAACGACGCCAACACTCCAAGGAATGGCGCTCTCGCCCGAGACTTCCTCGCAATGCACTTGAGTTGCAATTTCGACGGCAACGGCTAGTGAAGGACCAACTACGACGACAACGGCTCGCGCTCGATATCTAGTCGCAGTTTACTCCTGACTCAGGAGTGGAGCTCTCGCCCGAACCTTCCTTGCAATCCACTTGCGTTGGCGACGGCCCAACTCCAACAACAGCGGCTCCGGCTTGATAGTTCCTCGTGCCTTGTTCGGAGACGACCTGGCCAGATACGTCCTCTCATTCAGGCATGGCTCCCGAGGCGCCGAAATGGCCAACGAAGGGGCCGCCCTCTCGGAGGTCCTCGTGCCTGTGGCGCAGAAGCCCACAGGGGGGCTCGCGCCAGCAGCGCTGAACCCTCTGGGGCTCGTGCTGCAGTCGCCGGGAGCGCTGAGCCCTCCAGGGCTCGTGCTCGCAGTCGTCCGGCGCAGAACCCTGCGGGAACATGCCGCGGATCCCCTGGGCGTCTTCCAGATCTGTGCTCCGTCGGGTGCCTTCCTCGATATACGAAACTGTGCCCTGTCGGGGATGTTCGTGTTGGGGTCGCGGGTGCCGCTGAAAACTTTGACGCAAAACTCCCCGGGGCCCGTGCCAGGAGCGGGGGGCCAGCCGTTACTCTTGCTGCACTCGCTGGGAGCGCTGAACCCTCCAGGGCTCGTGCTCGCAAATGTCTGGCGCAGAACTCTGCGAGGCTCGAATCGCGGATACCCTAGACGATTGATATTTCGGGTAACTACGCACTCCGTGTTCTGTTACGAAGACTTGTTGATGCAGGAAGCATATCTTAAAAGCTGGAAGTTGTGTTTGAACTCACTTCTTTCTTGAAGCAGAAACCTACGTTTTTTTTCCATGTTCGGTTCGGGGGCGCGAGGCTCCGACTTAACATTTTGGCTCAGGACCCACAAGGTCCCGTGCCAGCAGCGCTGAACCCTTACGGGATCCTGCTGCATTCGATGGTAGCGCTGAACTCTCTGGAGCTCGTGATCGCCATGGCCAGGCGCAGATCCATGCACGGCCCGTGCCGAGGATTCATCCAGCGCTCGCCATGCTTATGCTCCATCTTGTGGTGTTGTCGGCGCAACATGTTTCAATCTATGTGCCTCACCAGGCTCACGGGGCCGAACGAGAGCCATTTCAAGTCGGCTTGAGGACGCCTCTGGGAGCCCATCATCGCCAGCTGCGCATGCGCGAGATGCGTATAGAGTTCTGGGAGGCGCTGGCGCACCAGGAGAACTAGGAGGGCGAGGAGGGGGAGGAGGATGAGGAGGAGGAGGAGGAGAAGAACGACGACCAGCACCAAGATGCCGCCAAACACGCGGAAGACGAGGCCGATGACGACGATGAGGAGTACGAAACGACGGCGGCGTCTACGACGACGAGCACGGATTTGACCACAAGCAAGAGTTTGACGACGACGGGTACGACGACGACGACGACGACGACGACGACGACGACGACGACGACGACGACGACGACGACGACTGAGGCGCTCCACGACGTCCGGCGGTGCCATGCAGCTTGCAACACGCTCCTACGCCGCACCACGGCTGCCCAGAAGCAATCGGCGGCGAACCGACTTCTCGTGATGCGCGCGTGCCGCTTGCATCACGAGCCAAGGGAATGGCAATCGCGGCAGTGGTCCGCACCGTCAGCCACAAGACAGCCCCGCCGAGCGGGCGCACCCCGGGCGTCACTTGGCCCCAACACGGCGCGCCGACGGACCGCGCGGCGGCCTCGAACTCCGGAAGACCTCTCCGCGAAGTCCGCCACCGCACGGTCCTCAGGGCGCCAGAGGCCCAGAACTGGCGGCACCCTCGGAGACCGAACCGAGCCCCAACACCGCGCAGGCACCCCGCATCCCCACTGACCCACCACGCGGTGTGGTCACCGCACCGTTGGGGGACACCCGAGTGCCCGAAGCCCCGGGGGTGCCCTGGGACTCCTGCCTGCTCTGCGACGGCTTGGCCCGACACGGCCTCCTCGGGAGGCGGGGCTCGACCGCAACGGGGAGACCACCAGGGGGGGCCACCGGAGAACGCTGTGCGGGTTGCCCTCGGGGGCGGACAGAGCCCGCTTTCGCAAGGTGAACACGACCTATAGGCCCGACCCCGGCGTGTGCAGGCCCGCAAAACTCGCGGCCTCAGCGTCACCTCTCCCATCGAAGCAAACATGTATTCAAACCCCCTCCTCCTCCTCCTCCTCCTCCTCCTCCTCCTCCTCCTCCTCCTCCTGCTCCTCCTCCTCCTCATCCTGCTCCTCCTCCGCCTCTCCCGCGGAAATCGCGGTCTCGGGAATTCGCTAATCTACCGTCAAAATGTAGATTAAGGATGGGCGGTAAAGACGCAAGACCCTTGGCGGCCGAAGTTTGGATGTTTGGGGCGGCGGGCGACCAAAGCCCTAATTAGGGACGCAAGGGTACCCTGACACAGGGAGGTGCCAGTTAAAATGGCAAACGACGGGCCGCAGAGGCAAGGACACAAGGGCACCCTTGATAATTGAGCGCGTCCTTACTGGGCGCGTTGACTATACTTGGCAGGGTGGGGGTCCTATCAATAGGTGGCGACATCCGAACCCTACCCCCACGGACCATCGATTTCCCTAAACCGATGGGAGGCGGGGGTAGGATTCGGGCGTCGCCTCGTGTTCGACGAACTCCAAACCCTACCCCCGCCGCCTATCGAGTTGCCTGAATCGTTTATCGGCGAGGGTAGGGTTCGGATTTCGCCGACGAGTCAACCTCGGACGCGCGAGGGGGCCGCCAGGGGGCCACTGGGGACCCACCACAGGGGGCCACCAGGGACCCAGGAGGGCGAGGGACAGACGGAATGCACCGAGGCCACCCCACCAAAAGCTGATGCGGGGTGCCCACGTCGGGCGCCTCCACCCCAAGCGTGAGGATCAAAACGTGTGACCCCTTCGGCGCTCCCTTTCTGCTGACCGTCCACCTCCAGCAGCACGTGCACGGGGACGACGACGACCACGACCAACTTAATCCGAATACCATCCGACTACCGAAGTTTTGGGTTTGGGGGGGCTTCTCAATGTGCTTTTTCATTGTTCCCCGACGATCCCCCACTGGGAATGGGGGGCATACTGAGGCCTTCGGACGGGGTTGGGATGGTCAGGTGGGAGGAGGCGGAGGAGGAGGAGGAGGAGGAGGAGGAGGAGGAGGAGGAGGAAGATGACGAGGAGGAGGAGGAGGAGGAGGAGGAGGAGGAGGAGCAGCAGGAGGAGGAGGAGGAGGAGGAGGACGAGGAGGACGAGGACGAGGAGGAGGAGGAGGAGGAGGATCCCACGCCACTGAAGGGCGCGCGTCTCTGTCTAGGCCGCGCTGGCCGCGCCGCCGCCGCCGTCGGCCCCCGCGGGGCCTGTCCTCAGGTCCGCCTCGGTGGAGGGCTCCTGGTTGAAGCCGCTGTCGAGAGAGGCCGCGCTTTGGTGGCCAGAGTCTTCCCCTTGAGGTGCAGCGTCTTCCGCTAGAGGTACTTGGACACGACCTGAACGCCCATGGTCCACACAATCACGAGAAGAATGCTCACCACCGCCAGGAAGAAGCGCAGGAGTTTCAGCGGCAGGTCCAGCCTCTCCGTGACCAAGGCAGCCACCTCCAGGGAGATCATCAGCTTCACCTTCAGCAGGAACATCATCAGACACATGGGGTACGACTGTCGCAATCAATGGAAGGCTGCCACCACCGCCAGAGCTAAGGGTGTCCACACCAGCTTCAGTTTCCACTGTTCCAGCATACAGATCATGAGGGCCTTCACCTTCGACCACAGGGAGAAGAAAAGCAGCAGGGTGACGAAGCATCCAGCCGATCTCAAAGAACTTGTCCCTCGTCAACCTGGGAAATAGATGGTGAAGTAGTCGCAGAGCTTGCTCAATTTGGGGTTCCGACAGTTTTGCAAATGTCGCAAGATGGTACTGCCAATGACCAGGCGGTCGCTCAGGCTGAAGTGCTAGCGCAAACGAAGACCAGCACAAGGTAGTCGCAGATCCATTCGGCATGTTCGGGGTCTCGGGCAGAATCGCAGGAACCAAAATATTGACCGCATGAATCGTGTTGGGTTCTAACAAGTCCCAATCCACTTCACCAATCCAAGGAACGTGTCCACTGTTTTCACCTAGCAAAGACGCGGCACCACCCGCTGCAAGCGCGTGTTGAACAGTGAGAAGCTGCTGCATGCGCTCAGCTTGATCCATCGGTTCATGACCGCGAAGTCCCAGGACAGAGTGAGCGAGTGCAGCAAGCCCTTCAGTTTCACCAGCTTGCACGGGGACTGTCTCCTCAGCTTGACAAGGTATTGCATGTCCAGCAGGCGCTTCCGCAGGCAGGAGGAGGAGGAGGAGGAGGAGGAGGAGGAGGGGGAGGAGGAGGAGGAGGAGGAGGAGGAGGAGGAGGAGGAGGAGGAGGATGAGGAGGAAGTGACCTTCAGGCACTGCGGCCCGAAGTGGGCCAGCAGCACGTGCACCAGCCGGTTGCAGGGCAGCAGCGGCACGCCCTCCACGCCGAAGGCGCCCACGGCCTCGCGCTCGCGCGCCGAGGGGCCCCCTCGGCCCTCGGGGCGGCCCCTCGGCGGCCCCTCGGAGGGCCTCGGGCGGCCCTCGGCGGCCCTCGGCGGCCGCGGGCGGCCCCGCCTGGCGCTTCCGGCGGCCTTCGGCGGCCCATCGGCGGCCCGCGGAGGCCCTCGGCGGCCGCGAGGCGGCCTCGGCGCGGCCTCGGGGCGGCCCTCGGCGGCCGCGGGCGGCCTCTCGGAAGCCCAGGCGCTGGCGCGCCTCCCCGGGAGAGCCTCCCCGCCGGCAGGCCCTCACGGGGCGCGGCCGCTCGGCTGCAGAGGGCGCCCCTGCGGCGGGGCGCCCACGCGAGGCGGCGCCAGGGGAGGCCCCTCTGGAGGCCCCTCTGGAGGCCCCTCTGGAGGCCCCCGGAGTCTGATGTTCCAACCTGCTTTAGCCTTGACCACCAGAGAGGATCTCAAAGCAACGAAGCTGGAGGGTTCTTCACTTGTCGGGCCCTGGGAGGCGACACTCGTTCGACACTGTTTTGATACGTTTCTGGGTGCTCGAAACTATTTCTGGGACGTGGTTCTTAAGTGCGATGGGAACAACATAACCCCAGGAGTACTCCGGGTTTCCTAGTAGGCGTGGGGGGGGTACCCCCCGATGGGGGTCAGCCTCGCCTCGTCGTCGCGCCGCGACGGGGGCCGGAGCGCCTTCGGCGCGCAGTGGCTGCCCGCGACGGGGGTCGATGTGGGGCTGTCGGCGGGGGTGACGCCCCCACCCCGACGCGCATCAAGAAACTCGGAGTGCAGTCAACCCGTACAGTAAGGATGCACGGGCCTCGGACGCCCATGTCGAAGCTTCTCGAGCGGGGCGCGGCCAACGGGAGTGGCCAAGGATGGACCGAGGAGGCAGGGACGCAAAGGTAGCCTTGGGAAGGTTGACCATCCTTACTATGCGGGTTGACTGTACACGTCGGTCGGCAGAAGCAAGCAAAAACATTGAGTAGGAAGGCGTTGGAAGCAGAGTGGGCTTCCGCCCGCCCCCCTGAAAAAAGGAAGGAACAGCGGAGGACCACTCGAGCCTTGAAGTAGGAGGGCGGCCAGCGTAGATTGGGATCTGGGAATCCGAGACGACCTGCTCCCCACCGGCGCGGGCGCCACGTCGGGAAAGCTCCCTCCGAAACACCGGGCCCGTGCCGCCGGACTCGGCGACGGCGCGCGCCCATCCTGCACGCGAGCGGGGGGGGACCTGGGGGCCCGCCGCCACTCAGCGCGCCTGCATCCACGTCGGCGCTCCCTCCGTCCACCGCCTGCCGAGGTCCCCGAGAACCCATCCCCCCGGCCGCGGTCCTTGAGACGAAGCCAGGACGAGGGCAAATTCGGGCGAGGAGAAACCGAGAGTCTGCGAGAGCCGGCGGCTCTGGAGGGGGTCTCGCCGCGGCCTTCTCGGAGCGTCCTGGAGCGCTCTGAGAGCGTCCCTGGACGCTCTGGAACGGATGGATCCGCGTCCTGGCCCCGTCCGGAAGAGGCTCCCAGAAGGCCTCCAGTGGTTGAGTTTCAAGCGACTCCTGGGAGGCCTTCGTGAGAGCCAGGTTGCGCGGAGTTGTGCCAGATGTGGCCGGCATTCGACTCAACCTTCCAGGAGGCAGATCCTAACCAGGAGGTGAGGGCGAGGGGGTGGAGCCAAGCTGGGCGCGCTGGCGCCATACCACCCATCCCTTCCCATCGTGCAGTTTCTCAGTATCCGCCGACGCATGTCACGGCGGACCTGGAAATCCAAAGGGGACCCCATCGTATCTCACTCGACCAAGATAATAAGGATGCGCGGTAAGGATGCAAGGGCCGTAAAACGCCATGTTGACGTTTTTCGTGCGGGGCGCGGCAGAATGCCGAAGGACGCCGAATACCGAAGGGGCGGGTATGCAAGGGTAGCCTTGGAAAGTTGCCCCGTCCTTACTGTCATGGTTGACTGTATGCGCAATCGGAGAAAAGGAGCTGTGCACATTGGAGGAGGAGTTGCCGGATGAGCAATCTGATGAGCATGAGGAAAAGGATGATGATGAGGAAAGAGGAGGACGAGGACAAACAGCAGCAGCAGGAGCTGGAGTGGAAGAAGCGGGAGGAGCAGGAGGACCAGGTGAAGGCGGAGGAGGGAAAATGAGGGGGCGACGATGATGCAAAATGACGCGGATTAGCCCTCGCTAGGGCGAGAGCGACATTCTAAACGATGGGAGCAAAACACGGATCCGACAATTAGGCCAACGCTGCAGCGGGAACACCATTCCGAAACACCGAAAACAAACGATTGGCAAAACATTTACATATACATATACACATATATATATACACATATACGCATGAACATAAACTGTCGACATCCTGTGAAGAAGGAGGGGCGACTCTCTTCCGGACAGAGTCAGGGGGAGAGAGGAGAGCAGTAAGTAGACATAATGTGTAACTGTGGAGGTGGAGCCGAGGTGGAGCGGAGGAGGGCAGAGGTAGAGCGGAGGAGGCTCGGAGGAGGGCGGCGGCAAGCGAGGATATGATCGTAAGCGGGAAAGAAGTCCATATCCACGGCATGGCATCCTGGACTACTCGGCCACGCCCGCCTCGATTGCAGGGCGTCTTTGCGCAGATGCCCCGCATACCCAAGGGGATCGCGTATACATGGGATCGCGCTGGGGTGCCCAGACTGCAAAGGGATCGCTATGAATGTGTTACCCAGAATCTCCTCAAGTCGGTCATTCGGACCTCTCCGGGGTCCACCCGGCCAGTTTCTCATCTGGGATCGAAGTTCGGATGCCCTGGGGCCCGAAACATGCCCCCAGATGCTAGAACATCAGGTATCATCGATTCGGTGCTGCTCGTTCAGCATCGGCCCCCGAATCCCTCCTGGGTCGTATCCTGGCCAATCTCTTGGGCTGCGTCTGCCTGTCGAGAAAACCTGACAAGTTCGGCGCTCAGGACAGGACTCCCCAAGGACAAGATTCTCACGGCCCAGGATCACGGCGAGGGCCCCAATGGGCCGAAAGTTCAATACAAACAAAAAAGGACACCCGAACACAAGAAATGTAAAAGCAAAAAGGAAACAAACAAATACGAACAGACAAAAATAAAAGAACATGCAAAACAACACCCCCAAAAAGTCCGTCGCGGATCTGTGCTGCGCCGCGAGGAGGTCCGGCTTCCGGGCCATAAAACTCGATGCAAGGGCCTCGGACGCCCATGTCGACGCTTCTCGAGCGGGGCGCGGCCAACGGGAGTGGCCAAGCGTGGACCGAGGAGGCAAGGATGCAAGGGTACCCTTGGGCAGCTTGCCCGTCCTTGCTCTGCGGGCTGACTGTACACGTCGGTCAGAAGAGGCAAGCAAAAACATGAAGTAGGAAGGCGTTGGAAGCAGAGTGGCCTTCCTAGGGGAACAAACAAATACATAAACATAAGAACTCTGAGGTCCGCGCGAATTTCTCGGATCCGCGCTGGACCCCCCTCGGCGGCGCCTCCGGCGCCGCCCCTGGCGCGCTCCGCGCGCCAGGGAGGGGGGTCCAGCGCGGGTCCGAGAAGTCCGCGCGGACCTCCGAGTTTTTTTATGTTTATGCCACTTGTTGCTCCCCTGCTTCCGCCCGCCCGCCCCTCGGGAAGCTTGCCCGTCCTTCCTCTGCGGGCTGACTCCGAAGCCCCCGCCTCGGAGCGGTGCCGGCGGGGCGCCCTCCCGCCCCCCCGAGGCCGCAGGGCCGCCCCCCGCGGACCCCCGCGGGCGGGGCGTCGCGCGCCCGAGGCCTTGTCGGGGGCCTCGGCCTCCGTCGCAAAGGCCTCGCGCGGCGGGCGCCGCCGCCGCCGCCGCCGTGGCCCTCGCCGTCGCCGTCGCCGTCGCCGTCCTCGAGGCCAAACGGCCGTGCTCCTCGCCCCGGCCCCCCGGCCGTGGCCGTGGCCGTGGGCCGCCGCCGCCGCCGGGGCGCAGGCCCTCGCCCGGTCGCGTCGCGTCGCCGTGCAGAGGGGGAGGGAGTCGACGGGCGCCGATGCTGCCCGGCGCGGACGGCCCGGGGCTTGGGTGGGGCATGTCCCCCTGCAGGCGGATTTCGGAGAAAAAATTAGAAATAATCAGAAACCTGCTCAAACATAGTCAAGAGATAAGAGAAGAATCATCCCCAGACCATGTTTGGACTATTCGTGAATATTCCCCCTGTAGGGGGACATGACCGTCTTAACCCGGGGCCCTCAATCGGACATCTAGCGCGCCGAAGTATGCCATGCTTGTGATGCTTCGCGTACGTGCATACTTGCGGCATCCAAAGACCGCTTGCCGGACCCAGGGCCCTCGAGCATCGCTCCGAGAAGAGAAGCTGGCCATGGCAGTGGGGTCGGGGAGGGAGGTCTGGGCCCAGTACATCCGACGTTGTGATTTTTCGAGCCAGGTCTGTCCGTGGATAGATGAGCGTCGGAGGTCTGGGCCCCAAAACTCTGGGGTTGAAATTGTTAGAGTTGCATCAATCCGTGAGGTGGGGGGTGGCCTGGTTATTCATTCGGCTGTGTTTGTTTTTTGGCTACGTCGTGTTACCCCTTGGTCCGCGACGTCGGATGTTACCCATCGCCCTCGCAGGAGTTCCCCTTCGGGATGCTCGCCGGGCAGAGGACTTGGCGATCGTACTCCGCACGTCTCACCCTCTGTTCTCTGGCCCTGCTCCTCCTGTATTCATATAGTTTCCTCTTTCTCCGTGTCTTCTACATCCTGAAGTTCCTCCTTTCCCTCCTCTTCCTTCAGGTTGTCCTGGTTCGCCCCCCCGGGTGTTGCCCTTCTCCTTGTCCCATGCGCCTTCCGCAGCTCACTCAGCTCCGTCTTCGTGAACCCTGCCGTGTGGTGCCACTGCTCCAGCAAAAGCATGAACTCCTCCGCTGGTGGCGGGGTTCGTCGTGAGCATTGCGGACGTCATCACGCCACAGCAGCATACTGTTAGCATTAGGTCGGGCATGTCCTCCTGCAGGCGGATATTGTGAGGATTATTCGAAATAATCAAAACATGTTCTAAAGT